CAGTCAGTCAGTCAGTCAGTCAGTCAGCCAGTCAGCCAGTCAGTCAGTCAGTCTGTCTTTCTCCCCAGTCTTTGATATAGTTTGTTGATTGGTTGGTCAATGACTAGCATCAACTACACGAATAATTGTTGTTATTCATGAAAGAGAACCAGATACTGCAGCACACAACAGTAGGTCAGCCACACAAACTAAGCAAGTGGCCAGCCTGTTTAATCAAAAACTGAATGGCTTGCTGGCCTTACAAAAGCATACCCTTGGAGCAATGACTACAACAAACTTAACCCAAGAGCCTTGACTAAGAGGGACTTCTACTACTGGAGCAACTGCTCTTATAAAAACCCCTCCCTTGCACAGGTATGGAGAGATGAAGTCAGCACACAGGTAGTTCACTACGGAATGAACATTTGTTGCTGTGTACTGACTGGGAACATTATGAATCAGCCAATTAGAAGCCCTGTGGCTTTAACTTTTTTGCAACTTAACAGTATAAATAAATAAGTATGAGTATAAATTTAAATGCAAAGAAATAAGTATAAGTATAAGTTTAAATGCAAAGAAATAAGTATAAGTATAAATTTAAATGCAAAGAAATGGTTGACTTACTGAACAGGAATGCATTGTCAGCTACAAGGTTTGTAAACAGTTTCCACAATTCTGCTTGCAAATCAGTATGAAGTTTTGGTGAAACATAAAATCGATTCTGTAAGAAAAGAAGAAAAATAACAATAACAGATGAAGATGACTGTAACCATTGCAGCATATACTCATTTTTTTCCTTTTCACAACAGCACCATCTTAATTTATTAATCTGCAGTTCAAATAAATGATATTTATATATTCACAGTCATTCATTCTTACTTTCAGTAATTTCTTTCCCCCCACACTGATATTGATTTGCACGTTTGTTCCAAGGCCATGGCTCATGTGATATTTCCACAGGCCAAAGATTTAGGTTAATATAAAGGAAAGTTTGCAACATTGTAATCTTGCGCCTTCACAAGCATTCCCTAGATCAATACAGGAATTCTCTCGGCTTCAACATAGTTTCTACATCAAGAAAACTTTCTCCAGTTAATCAGGTTGGAAATTCTCAGTGCCAAATAACATGTTACATTTGTGAGGAGAAGTTATACTATACTAATATATATATATATTATCAAATATACTAATAACATTACTAATGATCTAAATTATTATTAGTATTGTAATAAGATACAGTATACGTATTCCTCATTATTTGTGCAACCAAAGTTTGTCTCGCAGGTGTAATTAATCACTTATTTAAGCATTATGAAAATATCTCACCATGTAACTAAAGATGGCTACTATTCCACTAACTGCTTGAAAGAACTGTGCCATTGCAAAATTAAACTTTTCAAGATAAGCTTCAGCTGGGGTCACCTACAAATTTCAACAAGCAAAATAAAGCTTAGTAAGCTTAGGGAAATGACTCTTGGGTAAAGAACAGTTCTTGGGAATACTAAAAAAGCATCCCCTGGTAAAGGTCATTTTAGAAGAAAGTCTCAGCTTGGAGATGGAACATGATGTCCACACAATGACATAATGTCCATCACATTGACCCAATTTGAGGACTTTCAAGGACTTTTTAGGTCATTTTCAAGGACCTTGGATCTCAAATTTAAGACCTTTTGCATTAAATAGGAGCTAATAGAAAAACTGTATTTATTCATCTATAAGCTGAGTGATTTTTTCACAAAACTTTACCAAAATCTCAAAAATTTGAGCTAGAGAAGGGTTCTCGGCTTAAAGCTTAGTGTTTTTCCAAACATAATTTTTTTGAAACAGCAAATTCAAAGGAAACATAAAATGATATATTCGTCTATAAGCTGACATATTGCATGCAGAAGTAAATAACAAAACAAGTTGAAGTTGGTCATTGACTTTATTTATGTGGTTGCTTCCCAAGGAACGGTTTGTTGTTTTCGGTGCTTAGTAAATGTGGCTTATTGCTTGTCCTCAGTNAAGTTTGGCTTATACGAATAAATACAGTAAAAAACATTGCTCTTTATTGTTAAAAGTAAAAGGTAGAAACACAATCATTTCTTTGTAAGGTACAAAATATACAAAAATCACAATGTCAAACAGCATAATTGGACACAGGATTTGAAAGGAAAACTCATTTTTGTGATTTGTACCAAAGACTTACACTTTCAACACCAGAAACAAAAGAAAACTTAGACTATGATTCATCTGCACTTATTTTCAAGGACTTTTCAGAAATTTTCAAGGACATGAGTCTAAATTCAAGGGTTTTCAAGTCCTTGAAAACAAAAAATTAAATTCAAGGACTTTCAAGGACTTTCATGGAGCATGGGAACCCTGTTATCTGTAGTGCATGGTCAGGTCCAAAAGCCTATAGCCTCATTACACCCTAACATCAGTATGCATATTCTCTATTTGCCTCCTGGTTAGCTCAATTGGTATTGCGCCGGACTGTTGTGTGGAAGCTCAAGAGTTCAAATCCGGCTGGACCAACACTCAGGGTCTTTAAATAACTGAGTAGAAAGTGCTGCCTTTGTAATAATATCTGCAAACGGTTAGACTTTCTAGTCTTCTCGGATAGGGATGATAAATGGAGGTCCCGTCTCACAAGCCCTTATATGTGATTTAAATTTGTGGGACGTTAAAGAACCCACACACTCCTCGAAAAGAGTAGGGGACGTACTGCCCGGTGTTGTGGTCTGTCTGTGCAGTGTCTATCCAGAGTGAATTGGGGGGAGGGGTGGTGCCTCGCATGCACCTTGTGTTCTGTTCGCACTAACCCTTCCAGGTCTAGTCACACCCGGTAAAGTTGTTAAAATGAAAAACAAAACAAAAAAATATACTGTTCTCCATACATTTCCTGTGGTGCTAACAAGGAGAATTTGTGTAACAATCAAGAGCTCCTTTAGTTGGTTATGATTTCTTTTATTCTCAAGACCTGAATGTGTGATTCCACTGTGATACTGTGACGAGAAATTAGCTGATAATCACTTAAAGGGGTAATTAAAAGGATAAAGTGAACAAAAGCATGTAACAAACAGATCTATCGTATTTCCTGACCAGTCAGCCTAATAACTATCTGTGCTTACCTGTAGTTCTTCAGCTACTCGTCTAAGATAGGAGGTCACAAGTTCCATCAGATTGTTGTACATTTTGTCAGAGTACTGCTGGCATACACATTTATATACAGTGCTGAGACGATAATCATGGAAGAAAAGTTAGCTTTCCAGGTGAAAAAACCTTACAGGACAAACAGGGTTTTCATCAGGAAATATAGTTGCAGGGTGATAGTGTGAAGTAACAGGAAAAAGTACTTTATATAGGTTCACCACATCCCAATGACAAATAGCTCATGTCATAAAATTTAGCTGAAGATTTCTATCTTATAGCCCAGAGTTTGTGGTGAGCAATGCCTAGAGAACACTATGATATCTCAGAATTGCTTTAGAGATTTTAGTCCTAATGCAACAATAAAAGAAGGCCCAGTGGCCTAGTGGTCAGTACACTGGACTCTGTGTTAAGAGGCCCAGGTTCAAGAGCTGGCCGGGATAATGCCTTGTGTCCTTGGGCAAGACACTTTATTATTCTCACGGTGCCTATCTTAACGGCACACTTAATTTGGAGCCTCACTCTGTTGTGTGTCCCGCACTTCATGGTGAAAGCAATTAAATAGATAAATATCATCGTTGTGGTATCAAAAAGAAGAAGCTTAGTGGATATTAAGAAAAACTCTTTCCTGGTGCAGCACATTCTAGACTTCCCACTTCTTCCTAATCAAGATCTAAATGAAAGGGTGGGTCATTAGCAATCTAAAGAGCACTTGTGGATTGATCTTGTACACCCCTGACAGAAAGATACGACACTTCATCATGCATGCACTTCTTTGATAAAAGAAAACACTGGGAAAAGAAAGAGATTGCCTTTAGGACTAAGACTTTGATTCAGAATAGAATGGGATTAAATGGAAATCTTTCCACCCTGACCAATGTCAAATGGGGTGTACAAAACCGCCTCCCAGTTAGCTCAATTGGTATAGCGCTGGACTGTTGTGTGGGAGGTCGAGAGTTCGACTCCGGCCGTACCAACACTCAGGGTCTTTAAAGAACTGAGAAGAAAGTGCTGTCTTTGTAATAATATCTGCAAATGGTTAGACTTTCTCTAGTCTTCTTGGATAGGGACAATAAATGGAGGTCCCGTCTCACAAGCCCTTATATGCGAAAAAATTGTGGGACGTTAAAGAACCCACACACTCTTCGAAAAGAGTAGGGCACGTAGTGCCCGGTGTTGTGGTCTATCTTTGTGTAGTGTCTACTCTAGGGTGAATTGGGGAGGGAAGGTGAGATCAATACATGGACTGAAGTGGCTGCATATTGTGCCTGATGAATTCTGACGTCCGATCTCACCTTAACTGATTGTAAAGCGCGACTGATTATCTATATAGTAGTTTGCGCTATATAATGTTGAATTATTATTATTAATGATCTTGCTAACCATAAAATTTCGAAAAGATCCTTTAAAATCCTATCTTCAAAGATCATAATTACAAAAACATCTTTGGAAAATGATAGGATCTTGAAAAGAATTTTGATTATTTTGAACATTTGTATATTTTTAACTGAATCCTTAGAGTCCAGATGGAATTTAAGGGAAAAAAACTTACTATAGATCCTAAGCCCTAATCAGTTTGTAGTAAGAAAAATTAAGGGATGCTGATAACAAAACAAAAAGTTGCTAATCTCAGAGAATTTCCTGATCAATTATCATGTTTTAAATTGCAACAAGGCGAACGTTTTAGTCAAAGTCGCGTTGTTGCAATTAATATGGTAGATAACAAAAGGAGGAAAATTAGTCCAACTGCATTTCAATATAAGTATTAGCTTACGCAAATGTTGTTAATGTTTGTTTATGTATATCTATGCCAAACATAAACTTACCTGTACATTTCTTCATACGAAATCGGGATAAATTCTCCAGGATTTTGTTGTAAAATTAATAAAATCGCGCCTTCTAGCTTCGGCCAATAACGAGACGTATATTCCTCATCATCAACAGTAGTAGCTAAAGCAAAAATACAAGACATAAAGCTTACTAAACAGATATGAGGTCGTACTGATTCTAATTTCGGTTACCAGCCAAGTCTTTACAGTAAGGATCTGTTTCATTTTACCTCTTGAAAGTCCTAGTAGCGAGCTTTCTACAACACTTTCAGTAGTCATCTCCACTATATTTTCCAAAACTCCCAAGAATTGCTTGCAAAAACATGACAAGTTGCTTGCTCGCCCAACTGTCACTCCGCCATTTTGTTTTTCTCTTAACACAGGAGGAATGGGTCGAGGTTCATCTTTTGCCAGGTACTTCATGTTAAGTCAACCTACATTCTCTTTCAAGATGGCGGATTCCTCGGAGTCGGACGATGTCGAAGAAAAAGCCTTGCAAAAGGGCGAAAAAAGAAGGCAAGAAGAAAGCGATGAAACTTCTGACGAGGGTTCATCATCAGAGGTAGAAACGGATGGCTCAGATGAAAGCTTTGATGAAAATATGGTAAGAACACACCATTTCCATTTCGCAGACTTTTTCATAACCAAGTTTTTAACACGTGCAAACTTACGCTTGTCGAAGATGTGAAGGCTTGCGTCTCTGCCGATCGAAGTTTGTGCGTATACCAAGAAAATACGAGTGATACTTGTGTTATTCCATGGTATACCACTTGGAAGCGTTGCAAAACTATAAAAAACTTCATAGTAAAACGTCTGGTGCATTGAAATAATGCAGAATATTTTTTTTGTTGCATTTGATTGAAGGAATATTCATATTTTCTCCATGACATTGGTCAGGTGGAAAGATTTCCATTTAATCCCATTCTATTCTGAATCAAAGTCTTAGTCCTAAAGGCAATCTCTTTCTTTTCCCAGTGTTTTCTTTTATCAAAGAAGTGCATGCATGATGAAGTGTTGTATCTTTCTGTCAGGGGTGTACTTGTAAATAAAAGCTGCAAGTGGTCAAACTTTGATGCAAAATCATCTGTGTTCTTTATATCATTGCAGAAGAGTTTTTGATAAATAAATAAATTAAATAATAAGAGTTTTTGATACAGCATTGATATGGAACTGGTTGATGTTTCAGGAGATTCCAGTTGAATTTGAAGCATTTCCTCCTACTGAAGAAGATTTTGGTGGAATACGGTGCCTGTTACAGCAAGTGAGTCAGTAATAAAACTTAGCCGGAGCATCTTGCTCAGTTAGTACTGCATTTGATTACTTGCTGCTATTTTCAGTTAGCATATGGCAACATCTTTGGTTGGACATTAGGAAAAAGATTTGCAAGTACAGTAGAACTCGATAATCTACATCATCCTTGTTGTAAATATAGTCAGCCAGACAATTACACTTTTTTGCCAGCAAATAATCCAGACAAAATAACTTTAAACTTTAATAATATTTACCAGTGATTAATTGATACACAAGAAAGTTAATTAAATGCATCTGTGTTTTATATCTAATGAGTACTGATAATAATTAAGGGTTGCAAACTTGAAAGACTTAAAAAGCAAACATCTGTCAAAACCTACATTGTATTTTCCCTGCAGTTGTATCAAGCAGCACTTGGAGAAGTATTTTTAAC